AATTCGCTCAGAGCTTGCTCCAAGCTAATTAAGTGTTCTAGATGATTTTCTTGCTGCAGAGGCGGACTGTGAGAAAGAATTGTATCTTCTAAAGGAGAGATCGGATTTAAAGGCGAACCGGCATCAATTAAAGGGCTTATATCATTGGCAATATTTCGCAAATTTGTAAAACCGCTTCAGAGACAAATTCATCTAAAGAATCTGGTTGTGATGCATTTTGATTTTCACTAGAAGGAGAAACATTCGGAGATGTGTTTGACTGAGATAAATGCGGGTCAGACATGTTTATTTACTAGACGTTTTTCATCCAAGAATGTTCCTCATTATGTAGCACATATTCACCAAGATGGACAAACGGTAGCCAGGGTCTTCTTGGTTGCCTGGTGCAGTCAGAAGCTTGCCGACAGCTGCCAATGCTTGAATAACCATGCGCTTGGGAACTTCTTCTTGGTTGCCGGCTGCAGACAGAAGCTCACTCACAGCCGTCAATGTGTGAAAAGCCAGGTGTCTGGATTCTTCTCTGATGGGAATGCTGGAGTGGCGGTTTCGATTTCTTACTGAGGAAAAAAAAAAACGTTTTACTAAGATTGACTAAAAAAATAAATAAATAAAACTTAATAAATAAATAAAAGGGTATTTACCTTCATTTCTCAGTCTGTTTGTTATAGCGAGAAGGGGTGAGTCTGAGACAGAAAAAAAAAAAAAAAAAATATATATATATATATATATATATGTATATATATATATATATATATATGATTATATTATATTAAAACTAAGAATTATTTTATTTTATTTTCTTACCATTGGCTTCGGGTGTTGAACTAAAAGCTGTCTGGTCTGATCTTTTTTTAATCGTATTTTCAATTTTTTGATCTTCCCACTTCCGGTTTCCTGGACTACAACTTCTCTGTCACTTCCTGCTTCCGCTATATCTTGGACTACAGCACTTCCGGTTTCCTGATCTTCTCCGCTGTTTCCGGTTTCCTGGACTACAACTTCACCGCCACTTCCTGCTTCTGCTATATCTTGGACTACAGCACTTCCTGCTTCTGCTATATCCTGGATGACTGCGTCCCCTTGCGCATTGTGTTGGACCAGCGGCGCTGCAGAAACGATGGCGGAGCGTTTCCTTCGTTTTCCTACTGAGGAAAAAAATAAAGCGCATAACTAAATAAAAAGGCTATTTACTTTCTTTTCTCCGTTTTGAATAACGCCGGACTTTCAATACCTTCCTTGTAGCGAAAGGCTGAGAGTCTAACAGAGAAAAAATATATATGATTATATGATATTAAAACTAAGAATTATTTTATTTTATTTTTTCTTACCACTGGCTTCGGTTGGTGTTGAACTAAAAGCTGGCTGATCAGATCTTTCATTCAGAATGGATGTGTCTGTGAGAAAAAAATTAAATAACGCACTTTAGTAAGACTGACTTAAAAATAAAATCTAAAAACTAACAAAATAAAAAGGCTATTTACTTTCTTTTCTCTGTTTTGAAGATCGCCGGAGTTTCAATACCTTCCTTGTAGCGAGAGGCTGAGAGTCTAACAGAGAAAAATATATATGATTATATGATATTAAAACTAAGAATTATTTTATTTTTATTTTTTCTTACCACCGGCTTCAGTTGGTGTTGAACTACAAGCTGGCTGATCAGATCTTTCATTCAGAATGGATGTGTCTGTGAGAAAAAAAAAAATAACGCACTTTAGTAAGACTGACTTAAAAATAAAATCTAAAAACTAACAAAATAAAAAGGCTATTTACTTTCTTTTCTCCGTTTTGAAGAGCATTTCTTGTAGCGAGAGGCTGAGAGTCTAACAGAGAAAAATATATATGATTATATGATATTAAAACTAAGAATTATTTTATGTTATTTTCTTACCAACGACTTCAATGGGTGTTGAACTAAAAGCTGGCTGATCAGATCTTTCATTCAGAATGGATGTGTCTGTGAGAAAAAAAAAGTTATTATATTTTATATATATATATATATATATATATATATATATATATATATATATATATATATATATATATGTCCGACGTATATTCATCACAACGGCTTAGATAAAATATTTTTTAAGCTTACCCCTTCTGTCTCTTTTTCCATTCGCGTCAGTATGACTTTGCTGGCGAGGTGAGAGAGCCGGGTTGAGACCCTGGGGGATGCACTGTGGCACGGGACGTTGGAACAGGCTGGTTGACAGGCCGAGGCGTTTGATGAACTGGCCAGACAGAGCTGGGGCTGTGTAGAGGAGCTGGACCTCCTGGAGGGTTAGCCGCGAGGGAGGTAGGAGCAGGCTGGCTGACAGGCCGAGGCGTTTGATGAACTGGCCAGACGGAGGTGGGGCTTTGTAGAGGAGCTGGACCTCCAGGAGGGTTAGCCGCGAGGGAGGTAGGAGCAGGCTGGCTGACAGGCCGAGGCGATTGTTGAACTGGCCAGACTGATCGGGGTTGAAGCGGCCTCGGCTGCAGCGTTCCCTGTACTGCCTGTGGCTAGAAGACCCGTGGAAGATGTAGAGGTAGGTGGCCGTTTTGCTCTCCTAAATAAACCGCCGGATTGCTATTATTTTGGCGAAAACTGTTTGGTTGCGGAAGAAATTCTCTCTCTGTCCGAATATTTGAGCATTGTTCGGTCGCTGTGATGGTTTCTGGATAAAAAAATAAAAAAAGTTTAGTAAAATAATTGTTATTTTTCCATCCCGTTTTTATTATTCTTTATAAATAAAAGTCTTACCCAAATCAAGGTCTGACAGATGAAAATCCTCGATATCGGAATCTTGAAATAGATGGGGGAAAAAAATGAGAGCTTTTAAAATGTGAGAAAAAAAGCAGATCTTGTTAAAAGATCCCATTACAATGGTAGGATTTAACGGATTAACTTCCGCCACTACGATCTGCCCTTAAACAAGAAATTAAATAAATGAAAAAGAGATTGTATTTATTTCTAATAACGTAGAAAAAAAATTACTCACTGTGTTTCATTGTGGAGACGCCTGCCCGACACTCATAAAAAAATGGTAATGGAGTTCCTCTGGCATATGGTCTTTTTGTAGGAGCTTAAATCCCTACATCTGTTGAGCTGTAAAATTATATGATGTTTTAGATAACACTAAAAACGCGGGGTGCCTGTTTTAGAATGCAGGAAACGTATAATTGATTAAACACAATTTAAAACCCTCTTTGCAAACCATTTTCTGTTTCACGCTCATTCTGAAGGGGTGGGGGTCTGTGGGCTCAGTGGTGTGTTTGTGTTTGTGTGTGTGTCTGATGGGATGGGTGTGTGTGTGTGTGTGTGTGTGTGATGGGTGGTGGGAAGGAAATTCCTTGTGTGGGAAGTGTCTTTT